CCTAAGCCCTAAATCCCTAAACCCAGCCAAAGCCTGCCATCCTCACGGCCGAGCTGCGCAGCTCCGCAGCTCCTGCGCCATCGTCCGCTGCTTCAGCAAGTTGATAGTGCCGTTCCTCAACTGAAAGGGTTTAGGGCTTTGGGGGTTTNNGGGTTTAGGGTTTAGGGTACGGGCTTAGGATTTTAGGTCTGAGGGTTTACAGGGTCTCAAAACCTGCAAACAGTAAACACCTTCAACCCACACAACCTAATAAAACGCTGCAACACTAAACCCCTAAATCCCAAGCCCCCACAACCTGATAGCCTAGAACCTGAAGCCCTAAAACCCTCAGCTCCGAACCTTCAATCCCCAGGCTTTAGGGTTCAGGGTTACAGCTTGAACACAAAGCCTTTGAAATCCTGAAGACGCAACCTCTTACCTCTGGGGGTTGACCTAAAGGTCCTCTCAGGAAATCTTGGCGGGTGCAAGGAGAACCTCTAGGGGAGATCATGTTGCAGGATGGCCATTTTGGAACAGGATTTTTGATCCATTACCATCAAACCCTCAGCCCTAAAACCTTAAAACTCTAAACCCGAAAACGTACTTGTTTTAAACATGTCACACTGTGCCAAAACAAGCCCGACCACAGAATACAAATGAAGAAGAAATAATAAAAACACGAAGAAAAAAACAGAAGACCGATGTTTCAGGCTCAAGGTGCAGGGTCTCCTCACCCTAATCCCCGCTAAACCCTGAATCCTAACAATAATCGTATGGCTCAGGACTACCGCTTTCGCCGCCGGCCAACACCACCACCGCCGCCGCCCCACTACCACCAGCACCAGCACCAGCACCAACATTCACAACCACGACCACCCCTAAACCCTAAACCCTAAACCCTAAACAATAAACGCTCATCCCCGCAGCCGCCGCCAACACAAACGAACTACGGTGACGAGAATGGTCGCAACGACAACGATGGAAAGGGCGGCAACGAAAACGCTGATGATGAGGGCGTCTGTGATTGTAACAACCACTACTGTTGACAGCCACTGCCAGCACGGGACACCTCCCAGTTGAAGAATCTGCCCCGCTCCCCAAACATAACGTGCAGTGATTTCGTCAGGAATGATGTCCAGCTGTCAAAAACAGCCTTCTCTGATGTCCCCTGGGTGCTCGACCCCAGACCCTCTAGAAGCCAAAACCGCAGGGAACACAATCATCACCTAATCCTCAAACCCAAAGGTGCCAAGCGTCCAGTTGTCTTCACCAAAAGGTAGAAACGGATGATCCTTGCTGAGTCGAGGCTTGCAACAGCTCCATCAGGTGAGACATCCTCCTTGCCTCCTCCTTGTGGCACCTAAATCGCCCACTCCCCATATAGGGGTTATATAGGGATAATGGAAAAGAGAATGGAAGCTACTATTTAGGGTTTAGAGTTTAGGGTTTTTTGGGTAATTAGTTCCCAAAGTTAGCCCTAACTCTTGGTTTTCCAAAAGTCCGACCCCTCGCCCCGGATTTGCCCCTGAAACCCTCCTCGCGCACCCAGGCCTGCAAGGTCTCCTTGAAAGCTTTCCGCCGCCAGATCCCGATGATGCCATGCTGGAACCAGACGGTGGAGTATGTGGACTCAAAGAGGCCTAGCTTTGGAGCTTGGGATTTAGGATTAAAGGGATAGCGGGGAATCAAATACAGATCAAAGGGAAACGACATGGAAGCTCATATATGTGTATATATATACATGTCTATATAGAGGCTTGCATAGGGATAACATTGGGGGAGTCTAGTGTTTTCGGGGTTGAGCGGAGTCGAGCGCCTTAGGGTTCTAGGGCGCCTGGCGTAAGTGTACTCAAAGAGGCCCAGTTGGGTTTGTAGGGATGATTTTGAGAAACTCCTACATCGTGGGAGGCAGCACAAGAGGGCTGCGCCTTCAGAGGCGTTGTGTTCCGTGTGCAAGTTAAAGTGGCCCAGGGGCTAGAGCTAGAGAACTCAAAAATGTACCCGCACATTTTAGGGGCCTCGTGCAGTTTATGCCAGATGTATAAGGATTATGAACGACAAAGCGTGGCAACTATTCAGTCAACCCAAACCTTTGGAGCACAAGGTTCTTAAATCTCACAGGTATTACGCTTCCGAAGTGAGTACTTAAGTAAAGTAAAAACCACCATACAAGAAAGGCAACAAAGGTCCATTCTCCTAAGAAACTCTTATCGCTTGCCGTTACTAACGAAACTCGTCCACACCTTGAGTCATATGTGGTGCTTCCTATAGTTTATCCCGTTCTTGAGGTCCCTTATTAAATAAGGCTACGACACATTGCGGTCTACATTGGGGACCCCCATGAATCCCTCATGCATGTAAACGCCCATGTTCCCTGCCGGGGAAGACGCTGTAGTTGCCTCTGTAGCCCACAAAATCCCCGTAAGCCTATGCCTGAAAACTCTTCCCTTCAACCCTAAACCCTATATCCTAAAGCCCTAAACCCACCCCCAAAGGTCGCCCCAAGTGTCGGCACTGCGAAATTCGACGGAACTCCCAGTCTACGAGGCCTGCGTCAGCTTGGGATATGGGCCCCATATATGGGGTTTTAGGGTTTAAAGTTCAAGGTTTGGGGTTTATAGTTTAAGAAACTACCCAAAATTACGGTCCCATTTTGGTACCCGTAAATATTAGGTGCCGTAATATAATCGAAGAGGCCCATAATTTTGAGAACAACAACCTGTAGTTTGCGGACGAGATACAGGAAATCAAATGTTGCGAGAGGTCTGGTGGATGGTACTGTAAAGGCCCCGAGAATCATGCATGAATATGTTCCCTTATGCAAGCATAATCATACATTGCCCTGGAGTGCTACCTAACCTTGTGAGGATACGAGGGGAATTTATCACCTACAACCTTAATGGGTTTGAGAGGCTGGGGACCCAGGATCTCAAAACCAAACAAGTAACTTTTTAACCACTATGCCACGTAGC